AAAAAAAAAAAAAAAAAAAAAAATCTCCGCTTCTAGAGGAACATTCATTAAGATTATGTTGGTTTTACAGTTGTTCATTTGTTGCACTGCACTGAACATCTCTGTAGTAACTTTTCATGATTTTCTTTAGTTGAGAAAATCTCAAACCACGATGCTCATTTAATGACGTAAGTTTTGTCAAGAAACTAATAAGACTAGGCAATAAAATTTAATGATACACGATTTTTGTGATTAAATTTAATTAAATAATCAGTAAATTATATCCACCTGGTGGATTTTGCAACTATAATGGATGATTATGCTGTAAAGACGAGACACCATAGCATGAATACATCAACTCAATATAAACTGCCGCACCAAAAGATAACAAAAACATTAGCAATTCCCCATTAGTATCAAGCATTTTGCCCTTCATCTTTCATCTTTATATACTTTTTGTTTGAGCCAATGAGTTGTCCAGTCCCAAACACCCCGGCCACAAAGAAGGTGGCCGCCGGCAAGGGCCGCCGGAAAGTCCAGTTGGTAAAAATAGTGAACCAAAACAAACTGCAGGTCACTTTCTCCAAGAGACGTGCCGGCTTGTTCAAGAAAGCCAGCGAACTCAGCACCCTTTGTGGGGCCCAGGCTGCCATCGTCGTTTTCTCCCCCCGAAACAGAGCCCACTCGTTCGGCCACCCGAGTGTCGATGCCATTTTAGACAGATTTCTAAATGAGAATCATAGTTCGCCAGCGGGCAATGCCGAGAAGCTGCTCGAGGCGAACGTGCACCAACAAGAGGTGGAACTCGTCCAGGTTGAGAGACAGCTGAAGGTCCATCAGGAGAAGAAGAGTAAGGATATTGGAGTCGACGTCAAAAAGCTCGACTATTACTCACTCTGCCGACTGAAGGATGCACTAACAAACTTGATGCGTGAGCTCGAAGCAAAAGTGCAGGCCTCCATGTACATCGAGGCTCCACATGATGTATGTATTGCATATGATCCAACGGCTGAGGACTCTCTACCGGTAATACCGTACAGTGGGTAACGCCTAATAATGTACTTGGGTTTCATTTATCTAGTGCAAAAATGTTGTGCATTACCCACCAAGCTATCCTTCAAATCATTACTGGAATAAAGAAGCCTTACAAATTTTCATAACTATTGCTCTTGAGCATTTTAGAGTAACAGAGACAGAAATTAGCATAAAAAGTTCAATCTTTGCTAGCCAACACTTAAAGGTGGGAGCCAAACAAAATTCCAAGTGTATTGATAATGCACGTACAGTGTACATATGGTTCGGGAGGAATGAGCCCGGTCGTTCAGTAAACAGGTAAAATAGATCAAATACACTTACACGGAAATGACCTACCAATCACAACTAGTTTATAATATCAAAATGACTCGGGACTCATTGAAGGCCTGATTTTCGATGGCATCTGCATGAAGTTTTGTAGTCCGCCTCCAAACTTACTGCTCAAGTCTCTAGGCGTAATAGACATTTTGTCCAGGGAATATTCAAATTCATCGGCATCAGAATTTTCCTCCTCATAACTCCTCCGACTCCCATTGTCCGGAATACTCATTCCATCTCCTTCATAGGCCCCACCAACATCTTCATCTTCATCTTCATCGCTCATACCTTCTCCATCATCGTCATCATCATAACTACTTCTTACCATCGACCAATAAACATAATTTGGCCGGATATAGCTTCAAATGGGAAAATAAAGAAGCCCGAGTCAAAAAGAGGCGAAAATAACTAAAAGGGGGACAAAGACTGGTTTCTATCCTGAGCATATTACTGAATTGCTAGACAACTACGAGTGTTTTCTCAAATAGAGGCTTGAGAACAAGAACCGAATGAAACAAAACAAAATGTCAAAAACAAACCTGTCACATTTCTTTAATAGGCAGGGATCGAATGGAAAAAACATGTCCAATCTTTTTAGTCCGCCAAACGCCATTGAATTTTCTGATTCAAGGAGACCAAAGTTAACGGGACTTTGAGGCAGAGAAAATACACCATTTGCCTTCACCAGCCGAAGAAATTCTTCTACTATTGATGGCAGGCATACCTGCACAGGCAACCAATGTAACATTATATCAGAGATACTAATTACTATGCCAGTCATTAACAAGGTATAGAACACAAAGCAGGTTTTCCAGAGCTCTCGAAAGCAATGGTAAACATTTAACACAGATTTTCACCTGCAATGGCCTTAATGGGTGTCTAATGACATCTTCAATACGCATGAGCAGTAGCTGGGACTTGAGGCGGGGTATGGCCACAATTTGTCTCATCCGGAAACAGAGAACATACATAATTGCCTGCACAAAGAAAAGCAAACATTCAGAGAAGTACTAGTGACAGATTTTGAGTCAAATCATTTTCAGCTTATGTCTCCTTTCTCTTAACTAGTGGCAGATTTCGAGTCAAAACATTTTCAGCTTATTTCTCTTGTTCTCGATCATTTTCAGTTTGCTAGCTATATTAATTCCAATTTTAACAATCAGGAAATCCAGCATCAGACAGAGATGCTATTCCTGATTCCTTATCAAGTCCATGGCGAATAATAGATTTCAGGTTCACTTCATATTCAAATGTTCAATTACAAGTAACTAAATCCACAAGTAATTATATCCTAATTTGAAGTTTATGATACTTGGGAAGTCAGTTTTCCATCACATACCTGGCAACCAGCATAAAATACTTTATGAGCTTTTGGATTAATGTCACCATCCTGGTTTTTGCAATATAGGAAACACCAGCTCACCACACTGGAAATTGGGGCAAAGATATGAAACCGAGTCATATATATTCTCCTTTGACTTTTCAAAATTGAACAAATAGGCATATGAATAAATATCTGATGTCACACCTTTCCAGTGTGTCAGCAACAAATGATACCGGCACGAATTTAGCACGAGCTAAATAACTAGCAAGATATGCAACAGCACCCATTCTGCAATAGAAAAACTAAATGTTACAGACTAACTGCTACGTGTATTTAAATAGTTACAGCATCTTCACACTAGAAATGCAGATGGATGAATTTTAAGGTCCTTCCATTCTCAGAGCTTATAATTTCTGAACTGCCATATCAGATGACAGCATGCTGACATGCACTGGAGGACGTTTAGCAACATTGTACGACTGAAGGGAGTAGCTCGAGTCAAATTAACAAACCGTAACCTGCAGAAATATTCTTAAGGCTCTCATGCCTCAGATCCTTGCTTGATTCAGTTGGGTCTCAAATACTAAATTGTTTTGCTAGTAGAAGATATAGAACACAAATATGATTACCATTAGGAACCAAACAAATTTCAACATACTGAAGAGAAGTGTTGAATCATTTAAATCTGCTATTTGAACGTATATTATGAGTTTCCATGCACCCAGGTCAGTATAATATATAAATTGTAATGTTTCTCACTAGCATCAACTGTAAGTAATTGGAACTGTGATCTGGTGTACATATAAGTATACAATCATATAAGCAAATGAAAATATGAAAAGACAAAACCTGTTCTTACACAAGAATAGAAATTAATGGTGCACGACTAACAAATAAATAACATCCTTACCTCCACTCGGGATTGAGACTGCTCAGAAAGATATCTAGAAGCATGTTCAGGAACATCTTTCCACAATTTTCAGGATCCAGTGAGCAAGCGTAGAACATGACAAACTATAAAGCATTTATAGCAAATTCAATTCAGAGACCCGGTGAATTACAACATAAATAGTATGTATGAGACCATGAAAATAGTTTCCCCAACAAGAGAGAACGAGAACTAGATAGCAATTGTTTTGACGCCTTAGGATATCCTGGGGGAAAATAGACAACATATATACCTGGGTAAATTTTGCTTTATACGCAGTCAAAACTGTTTTCTGAAATGATTGGAGAAGGATCTCAAACACCTAGATCAACATTGTACAACGGCAAGTAAGAATTCATGGCACCATCATGTCAGACTGAGAAATACAATTAGAGAATTACCTGAACCAGACGTCCACTCTCAAAACAGGATTTAATGTGTTCGAATGTGAGCACCATCAGGCTATCTAACTTTTCAGCAACTAAGTTTCCACTAAAGAACCTTTGTATTAAGGCTTCCCGGGTAAGCTGGAAATGTAAGTATGGTATTAGACACTAAGGTATCGTAGTAATGTTTTAAATTCAAACAAATAGCAAAGAGTCCAGATAGAAAGCAACAGGCTAAGTCTATTCCAAAATCACTACTTTTTGGTCACTGTCCTGGCGTTGATCTAAAGTATAAGCCTCTTGCAAATTGCACTTAAAAAGTTTCTTATCAAAGTAAGCCCACTAGATTCTTCAAAAATCCCAAGGTAAGCTAAATACCATTGTTAGTATAGGTTTGAATCAAATAAATCAAGTCGCTAGGCAACAAATTACTTGTATCACCTCTGTACAGGCAGCAGACAACTAATCCCACCTCAGAAGTCCAATTTATAAACAGATGCCAACTAGAATGATAGGCAGATATTCAACTCTTGTCTTATCAGATTGGATGTCGAAGGGCTAAAATGACTCAACTCTATTTGTCCAAACCTGACTATCTTCAGAGCAGAAATCCCTTTCACAAACTCCCTAGTTATTACTTTCACAATTACAAAGCAATGAATTGTAGTTTCTTACAATCTTCAAATTGTGGGCATATTCACCATTACTTTCTACTTAATAATCACCCCCTGCTCCCTAAACAACTTTGCGCTTTATCCAGAAGAAATAGTTTCACACCCAGGGGAAGCAACATCTATGTCCACTTCCAAGCACCAATCAATGCCCTAACGCACTTAGTAACTCATCAACGATGAAACTTAAGAAAACCTACTCTAGAAATTACCCAAAACTTGTAATAAAAAAAGGGGAATACAAAATTCTGGAACTGCATGAGTATTAATGCGGTGAAAACAAGCTTCGAGGTACTAAATCTGAAGACCCAGCATTTTGCAATGAAAACCAAGAAAGATGGTCATGGCCTAGTGTCCAACGGCCAAGCCAACACAAATTAATGACCTGGGACCCGGCCATGCAAGGTGACTAGAACAAGTTATATGCTTCTACTTCTCCAATGATCAACTGGGCAAAATACAAAAGATCAAATAAAATACCATGAAGTACAACAAACAAGAATTTGAAATATCAAAAACATAAACACAAGTCAAATAGTCAATAATGCCAATAAGAAGACAACATCGCTGTCAGAAGATGCCTATCTTCTCTCCAAAAAGTGCCGTCTAGGCAGCACCTAGGCAATAAGCAATGGTCTCTTAGCCTAAGTATGGCATAAGCACCAGAGGAACTTCGATAACTGTATGACGCGCTTGCACTGCGCAGATTGCCCATGCATACCCAATTTTTGAAAGATAATTGTGACCTTCTGCATACTGTTTTGGTGATAAAACGCGATCACGCTCCTCAAAACTCACAAAAATGGACAACAAAAGGATTATAAAAATCCAAGAAGTGAAAACAAAGAGGAGGTTGCTGGAAATCAACTAAAAAAAATAAGGCTTCTAGAAACAGCAAAGTATGAAAATCACCTCATTTGAATCTTGGTCGACATCACCTGCATTCCCGTTAAGGTCCTCAAGTTCCATATCAAATATACCTTTATGAAAATCTTCCTCTAAAATGTCATCCCATGCTATTTCCACCTACAGATAAAAAAACAATCATTTTTTTTTTTAATAAATAACAAACATAAAGGCTGTCAAACCAGATCAGTAGAGTGTCTAACTATTAACTTTAACTTGTAAATAAACTTACATCCAACTCAATCAGTCTATCCACTAATGCAACTATAATATTGCTCCCAACAAGTTCGCCCATCACACCACCCTCTAGCCTCAACATATTCTCCACGTACATAACAATGTGCTGCATTAGAAATTTGGAATTAAATAAAAAACAGACTGAACACGCAAATTTAGTTATACATATATTTGATCATGTTACCCCATGTAACATTTGAAATTCTTTGCGACTAACTGAAAAGGTTTTTTGTTGTATCTTACTATGCATGCTTAAATTAGGAAGGAAGACTGTCTTTGATTTATGCAGAAGTTCAATTTTACCATGTTCATCATGAAGTTCAGAAAAGGGTAATAACCTTCAAAAATATTGTATCAAGTGTTCAAGGAATTCCAATACCCCTCACAAGAATTAAGTACACAGTAGGTCTCTCCCAGCCAGAGTTTGAGGACGAAAAGGTGTACCAGAAACAATGAGTGAGAAAATTAATGCCTCATCAGAATATGTGTGCTGTTGTTCAGATGAACTATATAACCAAATGGAATTTGATTTCATAGAAGAAAGGGTTCAACAACATCTACCAACTTTCAAGTATATGACAATACTTTCAGGGGAATAATCCAAAACTTGAACAGTTGTTTTAACAACAAGATTGTCAGTCAATTCCAAACTCCAAAGAGGGAGGATGCTTGAGGGGAAAAAAAAAAACAAGTGCCAAATAGAAGGAAACCAACTCCATTGAGAAGGAAAAGATTAAAAAAGATAAAAAGGACTCAAAGACGGCCCTCTACCGGATGAAAGAAAAGAAAGCATATAATGCACAATACATTGCTGGAAGAGAGAGAATGGAGAAGAAACTAAAGGCAAAAAGGTAAGTGGTCTGCAAGAGAATACAGCAAATAAGAGAGGAGATGAATGGAACCTATGGCCTTATGTGTTTTGACCCTTTTTATTGCATCTGCAAAAGGCGTCTTGTCTTGAATGATGAATCTTTCTGAAGGCTATTGCCTTGACGAGAAAAGGCAGGCGATGTGCACCTTGCATCATGGTGCAGAACCACAGCCTCAGCAATCTTCTTTCATTCAGCCATAGTAGCTGCATCTAATGCAATAACAAGTGCTCAATCATGTGTAAACGAGCAAAGGCTGTCTTTGAGGAGATTCATCTAATTTGAAAGTCCAATTATGGCAAAATTTCTAAAATGAAAGCACGCTGTGGAGAGAACTTGATGTATTGGTGAAAGGCACACTGGTAGTGCTGCAACTCAAATTTGTCAAACCATCCCTCTTCTCACACATGATTTTATTTAAATGTGATAAAACATCGGATAAACATGGCATGAATAGAATTCAGAAACAACTACAATAAACACATTAACAATTCTTACTGGTTCTTTTGCGTATATGTTGGGCATTCTATCCCTCACTATCTTCTCCAGTCTAACAGGTGAAAGTGGGACTACATTTGCAATATCTTTCAAGGTTGAGTGGACCCGGTCAAGAACTTGAGCCTTCTTAGCAAGACCGCCAGGTTTTTTCAAAAGTTCCAGAAAGTTCGTAGCAGAAGGAGAAGCGAATGGAGGCACAAAATTCACAACAAGCATATCCAAGCACAAATCAACATATTCCCCGCTTGATGACGCCTGTAACCAATGTTATATACACAAACAAACACACACACACACACACACACACATAAGAAAAGAGAAAATAAAAGGCAAACTTAGCTAATAAATGGCAGCAACGCAGATGTGAATTGTCAGAACACATTATGAAAATTACCAAGGAAACAAGTAATCCAACCAATGCATCCATCACATCAGTCCCGTAGTTCCACAAACTCATTCCAAATATCTGCAGAGCAAAACAAAACGAGTAACTAAAGATATGAACTTCAGAATAATATCAGTCAAGTTCAGAATCCAAATGGCTGTCTAACAACTCACGGCGGCAAGAAGCGCTCTATGATGAACAATGTCTATACACGAAACGGCTCCCGTGACTGCTTTCAGACACGCCTGACAAGCCATCATGAACAGTTGAAAGACACACAACTTAACTGATGAACTTCATACAAACAACAAACAAATTATTGCCAGGAACAAATTAAATACAAAGAAAAAAAAAACATACCAAAAGAAGAGCCACCTCATCTGCAGCCAGACGATTGTTATGGTGTATCACTGCTACAAGCTGGTTATAAAAATCGCTGTCACCCTACAAAACAGTAAAAGGAGAAAAAAAAACCCTTTTTTAGCTAACTAAATAAGTTGAACCAACCAAAAACTTCAGAATCTAATATACCTTAACAGCAGCTCTAAGAGCATTCCTAACACGGTAATGTAACTCAGAATCAATGAAATTCAGTTCAACCATATCAGGTGCGCCCATTTTATCTCTTCACCAAGCTGATCTTGGGGTCAAATATGGTAACGCTGCTTGTAAAACCTAACCCCTGTAGTGAGCAGCAAGCACGTGAGTTTCGCGTAGAAAATGAATTAGCCACGGCCATGGCTGGTAACCTAAAAATCTGGCAGATTTTCAGATGAAAAATCTGCAAAACTGTAAAGCAGCAATTGAAGAAGATACCCGGTGAAGGAGGAGGCAGCGTCAGGCTCTCAAAGTCGGTGGACCAAAAGAGGGTGCATCATAGGGTTTTTGGACCTAATAAAACACAAAATAATTTACTGTTAATACTCCACGTCATCCAAACTTCATTTTTACTCCTACACTCATAAATCTCAAATAACAATAAACCTCATTTTAATGGTATTGCATGTTCCCCACTTACTTTTTAATTAAGATTACACTGCTATATATTATTAAAATTTAAAACTAACTTCATTCTTATTTTTATTCAATCTAAATGTTTCATATATTTATCATAAAAATATATAAAAAATATTATAAATATTAATTACATATAATTACATTGCATTATTTATTAATTATAGGGTGTTTATTACATACGGATGTAAAATTTTGCTTAAAAAGTATATAATATATTTAAATTATGTTTCATATAATTATGTATATACATTATCTTTTATGTAAGTTTTTGATATTTAAATACTTAATAGGAAAAAAAAATTATATTTATGAGTTTGAAATTTAAGTACTTGTAGTTTTAAATCATGTGGAGTTTAAGATTTTTAAGTTTCCGATTACTACTGAAAAATGAGAATAATATGAAATTTAAGACTTTCAGTTTATGTTTTTACAATTAAAAAATTAAGGACAATTTTCGAATATGTACATGCAAGTGCAAGGAAAAAACCAAAAATAAAAAATAAAAACAAAGTAAAAAGTAAGATGTAAAATGTGAGACCCAATTTTCTCCCACTTGCCCATTGTTTGTTATTATTTTATTATTTAAATGAGGTTTACATAAGGTTTATACTGTCAAAGTTGTGTTGAATTTACAAACCTCAATGTTGTGCCTTATAGTGGTAAAACTTTAAAAAGGAGGTTTGTAAACCTCACGAAACACTACCGTTAAAGATGCTCTTAGTAGGGGAAATTTCGATGCTACACATATGTGCAGTGCCCACATAGACTTTTGTACCATTGATTTCACATACACCCATGTGAGTGTGTGTGTATGTGTGTAAATCAAGGGTGGTGGGGGCATGACTGCACTGCCCCCACCACCAGCATCGAATCTTCCGTTAGTAGGATGCGTTTGTCAGACATTCTTTAATAACACAAATGCCCAAACCTTATTTCTCTGTTCTCAATATATCACATCTAGTAATGCTCATCTATTCATGGTGAACATATTAGTGATTATTTTTTTGAACATATTAACATCATCAATGTGAGCATACCACATAAGCGGTGAATATATTAACATGTGCCCACCGTCAGTAAGAGAGCATTATCCATATCACGTCACTCAAACTTCTATCCACGTAAATCTCCAATAAACGTTTCGCAGACATTCTTTAGTAACACAAATACACCAACCTTATTTCTCTATTCTCAATATATCACATCAGTCAAAACTTCTTCTACCCACATAAATCTCTAATAATAGTAAATCTCTTTTTTGTATTGGTCTCACATGTTTCCTACTTATTTTTATAATTAATATTATATTCTTATAATATTTTAAGATATAACACCACTTTTATCTTTATTTAATCTAAATATTTAGTATATTTTTCATAAAAACATATAAAAAATAATAATATAATTTATATAATTATATTTCATTATTTATAATTATTGTTATTAATTAAAATAAAATTAGAATTAATTATAAATCAAATTAATTTAATTTTACAGTATAAGAACGAGTAAGTATGTTTTCGAAAAAAAAAAAAAGGGAACGAGTTTTTTGAAGTAGAACGAACGTCAAGAAATGTTGCTCGAACAAGATAGAAGTAAAGGTATTTATTTTCGTCAAATTAAAATTTAAATTATTTTATTATCCAAAAAAATCAATTTTATTGTTTAAGAACGAGTTAAATGGATTGTCGGGAAAAAAAAAAAGATGAAAATGAGCTTTTTCAAATTAGAATAAACGCTAACAAAAATTGAGGTACTTTTACAATTTCAAATTTAAAAAAAAAAAAATAAATACATAATATCGCACGTAGAAGTTACGATGAAACAAAACATAGATTAACCATTTTATTATACTCTTGTTTATTAGGTTCATTCCAAATATGCTCAACTAGGTCGTGCCTAAGTTGATGATGAACTTGTCGATCTTGCATCTCGACTCTTATTTGTAAGTACCGACAAAAATTTCTTGGATGGCCTTGTCGTGCTTGGACTGGAGGCTCAGTCTAAATAGTGGACCATTTTGTTGTCTCATCACCCTCATCCTCAACTATCATTTTTTTGAAAATAATATATGATAACATTATTTCATTAAGATCTTCTTTATACCAAAAACGAGCAGGTCCACTTACAATTGCCCATCTTGACTGAAGCACCTCAAAAGCACGCTCAACATCTTTTCTTGCAGCCTCTTGCCTTTGCATGAACTTTTTTTCTTTTTGGATCATGTGGGCACTGGAAGCTCTTGACAAACGTTGCCCCATTCCGGATAGATGTCATCTATTAAATAATATCCCTTATTATATTGGGTTCCGTTCACTGTAAAATTTACCTATGGTGCTACCCTGTGTAAGACATCGTTTAACAATGGGGACTCGTGCAATACATTAATATCATTTCATGACCGAGCAAGTCCAAAAAATGCATGTCAGGTCCACAAATCTTGTGACGCTACAGCTTCAAGCATTATCGTTGGTATACCATGATCTCCTCGAGTGTACGAGCCTTGCCAGTCAACAGGATAATTTTTCCACTCTCAGTGCATACAATCAAGGCTCCCCAACATTCCGGGAAAACCATGCTTCTCCTTGTGCAATGCAAGTAGTCATTGGATTTGTACAATGCAAGTAGTCGTTGGATGTCAGCAGCATTAGGTGAATGTAAGTATTGAGATGCAAATACCTCACACACAGCTTGACAAAACTCCATAAAACTTTTATTTGTTGTTTGTTCAGACATGCGTAAATATACATCACATTGATCGGCAGGTGCTCCGTATGCTAGTTGGCGTATGACCGCAATACACTTTTGGATGAGTGAAAAGCCCTATCTACCGGATGCATCTGTTTTGCTCTTGAAAAATCAGAATAATTTTTAATTGGATCAACAATACTATAAAATAAACATCTCGACATACGAAATCTACGGCGGAAGAAGCCCTCGTGATAGGTGGCTTCAGTAGCAAAATAATGTCATATTAATAAGCATGTCTGACATCACAACCTCAATGGACTACTCGCCTACTTGAATTTTCACCTTGTTCGACTTCTTTGAAGTGATTAATCACAGCTTCCATCAAGGAAAATTCAACCTGCACCAGAGAATCATCAAGCATATTTTTTAAGAAAGCATGATATGCTACTCTGTCATTGGTACTCCTAGACATCTTAAAAGAAGAAAAGTTATAAAGTACTACAAATTATTTGGTGAAGATTTTGTAGTGTGTATGAGAATCCATGAAATGGCATCAATTTATAATGATAAAAGATAAGATCTACTAAGTTAGGTGGGAATCACGTTAGTGTCCATCACCTTACCTACCTTTCCTTTTCTTCTTGGTTGGTTGTCATTGTATTTGTACATAAAGAAATAATGTGTTTAATGCATGTAGAATATGGTACACAAAACAAAATAAAATAGGGTAAAATTTCAAATTAAACACAAAGGAAAAATGAAGTACACAAAAATATAAAACAAGTAGAAATTAAAATTAAGGACAACACAAATTACTTAAAATAAAATACAATACATAATCATCATTAGAAAATCATTAAAAAATCATTTAAGACCCAATTCCTTTTTCAGCAGCAAGAAGCGCATAGTGAGCTTCTAATTCTTCTTCATCCATTGCTGAGATGTTCTCCTTTAGCATTTTTCGATAGGTCTTCCAAGACTCCATACGAACCAACTTTCTAAGTTCAACCTATTATTTTTCATGTGTATCCTTAATATGCCCAAAGACTTCTCATATTTTCAATTTTCTGATTAGTGTTACTTCTCATGCCACATTTTACCATTCTCTTCCCTGCCTTTGTTGCCTTCTGACCAATTGGGCGACGAACATATCTCTCATCATCATCACAACCCTGCTCCAAATCTCGGCCAGATCCAGAAGTGTAATCTCCCGATTCAAACGTTCTAGACTTTTTTCCTCCACGACTTGTGGTTGACGGCCCTTGAAATTTAGAACTATTTTTTAGAATTTCCAAACATTGGAGCCATTTAAAGGCTTCTTTTCGCTTACCATCACTATTCCACTCCATTAATGCATTTTGCAACACAATAGCATCATTTTCTGTAGAACCCCAATTGAATATTATAGGCATCTCATTTATTTTAATAATTTATGCATTATATTGCATAAATTTAAAGATCCTAAGCTCGACAAGTTCTTCGGAATACTTAGACATTAGTGTCTATTTAGTCTTTGAGTAAATTAATTTATTTAGACATTATGGTCTATCTAAATTATTTAAAGAATATTCAAAATTATAGTCAGATTCTCCGATTTCTCGGTTGTAGTCGGATTTGAAGTCAGTTTAGTTCCCTAAAATTTATTTATCTCTCAACTCTTTTGTAAACATCAAGACCAAAGTTAGCATGATTTTTACAAGTCAAAAGTTGATAAATTCAGATTTTATCAATGAAAGATAGTTAAGGCCGAAATATGTGAGGATTTTAATGATTTTGGACTTAATTGTTTTATATGAGTAGTATTATTTATTTTGGAGCATCTAATGCACATGAAAGTGAGTTGTTTCAGCTGGAAGTTCATCCATTTTTTTCTTCACATGGTTGGTCACCTTTTCACAATTAAGCCATGT